TACCACACAGGAATAATGGAACACAGAGGAAAGGGCTGGAGCTAAGGGAATATTCCATGATGCAGTTGTTTGGTACAACCCAACAGCAGCACCCAGAAACTGTTATCACCTGGGAAGCATCAATCACATCCCAGGGCACTTCCACAACCAAAGCAGCCCAACAGTGTTGGCAAAATGCAGTTTTAACCTATTTTTATAATATACTCAGTCAAAGGTTGGGCTCAATGATCTTAAAAGGCTTTTCCATCCGAAATGGCTCTGTGATATTTCTCCCTGACACAACAACTGGTTCAGCCTCTCCCATGTCCTCCCTGTCCTGGATCTTCAGGTCACACCCTAATACCAAGAGGTTCCTCAGAGCTGAAAGCTCCTTCAGGATGTTGGGTGCAATTTTTAAAATGGGAATTGAAAATGTATATCACATAAATAACAATCTAGTAAGATAATAATCTATTAAAATAAAAATGTTGTGAAACTGAACACAACGCAGAGCTGAAGTGTATTTCTTTGGCTACACAGCAAAGCCAAAACTGCCTTAAGGTTGGCCTGAAAATAACATGCAGAGAGAAAAAGCATGTGGAGAGTGTATTTATATTCCTCAGGAAAAGAAGCAAAGAGGCTGCTGATCAAAACACTGAGAGCAGGAGAGGTTTCAGGATCAAAGGGAAATGAATTCTCATTATTAATATTTTTGATCACCATACAGATGGTCAGTCATTAACATCCTCATGGCTCAGAGCTGTTCCTGCCCAAGCATGGAGGGGCAGAAAAAAGGGGAAGAGGAGATCAGCAGCAGCAGCACAGAATTTGGAAAAGGGGGTTCATTACCCAGTGTGAGCTTCATTTAATGCCAGAGCTTGCAGGAACCTGGTGCTGCTTAGTACTCACTCCTCCAATCATAATAAACCCAGGATTATTCACAGAATATGAACACCCTGAGTTAGAAGGATCAAGAAGTCCAAGGATCCTTTTTCTAATAGAAAGAAGAACCTTTTCCTAAAAGAAGAACCTTTTCCTGATATCCAACCTAAACCTCCCCTGACTCAGCCTCAAGTAAAAGAATCAATGCAATTCATCATTACAATGCCTGGTACCACCCTGTTGAACAATCACTGTGTCCCTTCCTAGGAACAGAAGTTTCATTCTTTTTTCAGCTCTTGCACTAGCAGTTTATTATTTTCCTTCCTGGAGGAACATTCAGCTGATTTGTTCCCATTTTAATGATGGAAACTGATTCCTTTGGATACAACTGGATGTCCCTGGACATCCGAAGGGAACAGAGGAGTTAAAGAACATGGTGGTAGCAGGAAAATTCCTTGGGAATTCCAGGTCTGAAACAACCCCTGGAGTCAGAGCAGTAACCCCCCTCCTCAATTCTGCTATGAGCAGCAACACTAACTCAAGATCCCACCAGAATGATGTATTTAATGTGTGTGTAGTGAGCATGAGAATACTCCTATTCACCTCAAATCAGGGCTTTCGTGGCAAAACTCTGCACCCACCCTCAGATTTTGCAGGCTTGAGCTCCAAGGCTCAGTAATAGGCAGGCATGCCTTTGTTTTTACCATTTTGGTAAAATCACCTTTTCGGTGATCTAAAAAAGGGCCCAAACAAGGTGGAACGCACAAAGTGAAGCAAAAATAAAGATTTCCTGTTTGAATTATGGGACTGATATGACAGTACAGGGATTAATGAGGCCCAGGGTCTATTGGAGATAATTTAATTGGCTGCCCAGGGGGTTTGGAGGTGCCCAGGTGGATCACCCCAGCA